CTATCTGTCTGCAATGTTCTCAAACAATTTAGATGGTGCCAAAACAAAATTATGTAAAAATTCCAGTAAGCTTTTTGTTGTACATTTTTATATTTTTAAAAATAAAGTTTTTTATTTAAAAAAATATTGTTATACCCTTTTGTTTTATTTTAGGTCTGTTTTAAATATAAATAAAACTATGTATTTTAATGATAAATTTATAGCGGTTAAGGATTTTTGTTAAACGGTAAGGGTTCTAACTTAAAAAAAAATTCAAAAAGTTTTGCATATTTTTAAACATTTTCATCAAATTTGTAATTTTTTTTGCCCATATTACATATTTTGAGTGCCAACATCTTTTGTTTTTCCATTTGGAACTTTAGAAAAAAACTAAAAGAATTTAACGATGTAACAATGGTGACTATTATAAAAAAAATAGGGTGATGGCAACTCAAAATATGGTATTTTTGAAATTGGACTAAAATGTAGTTTAATGTGTGTGTTTACAATATAACCTTCACATTAAAACCTACTTTGACAGACACAGACACCCTGTATATATCTTAAAACTAATCATAATTATGGTACAATAAAGTCTTATTCTTATAACTACTTCATTACCTTAAATTTTGTTTTGGTTTCGGATTTTCGTACTTTATTCCTAAATCACGTGGCTGAAAAGGGGGGAAAGGAAATAAAATATAGTCCTAAAAGGATTATGAGCCTGGCTTTCCGCAATATTTTAAACCATGTCAGGACTAAGAGTAAATGATGATGCCATATTTATTTCACGTGACAAAAGAATCTACTTTTAACACATTTAACGTGAAATATAAAGCATTATCTTTTGGCATATATACATACCTTGACACAACACAGAATATAAAAACACGAACTTAGTAAAAAAGGTATTGGCACATTTATGAATTTTATGAAACTCGACACCTTAGATCAGATTTTCGACTGTCACAGCTACAAAATTCCACATTCTAAGATCCTATTTTTTATTGCGCTATCCTGATTTTAATTAGAGTTTAAAAAACTAAATGTCGTTTTACCTTTTTAAACAAACATTTTTGTCCGATTTTATAAGTTTTTTTATTGTCCTGCTAAAGGCACATATTATTAAAAAAAAATATTTAATAAACCATTTACATTTTTTGGGAATTCACTTTGAAGCGACACTGTGAAAAAGAAAGTTCTTGCATTGAATGTGAGTTTTCAAATTTGTAACAAGTAGTTTATAGTGAGTGTTTTAATAAAGTTTAAATTATAGAACGCTTAAAGATAAAATATATATTTTAGCAACGAATGTATTGAATTTTTCAAATAATGCCGTTATTTTAAAACTAGTGGCTCTCGAAAATATATTGTTTATTTCTAGAAAATGCTCTAGGAATAGTGATTGTTATATATAACAATCACTATTCCTAGAGCATTTTCTAGAAATAAACAATATATTTTCGAGAGCCACTAGTTTTAAAATAACGGCATTATTTGAAAAATTCAATACATTCGTTGCTAAAATATATATTTTATCTTTAAGCGTTCTATAATTTAAACTTTATTAAAACACTCACTATAAACTACTTGTTACAAATTTGAAAACTCACATTCAATGCAAGAACTTTCTTTTTCACAGTGTCGCTTCAAAGTGAATTCCCAAAAAATGTAAATGGTTTATTAAATATTTTTTTTTAATAATATGTGCCTTTAGCAGGACAATAAAAAAACTTATAAAATCGGACAAAAATGTTTGTATAGTAATGCTTTGTTTTCTTTCATCAGAAGCTCAATAAAAGAACGTAAACTTTAAAGGATTTCTTTTCTCTTTAAAAAAATTAAAAACAATCCAACGTGCCACGTTGAAAATCTGCTCGAGAATTATATTTTAAATTTTTTTTATTCTTATTATAAAGAAAAGTTTCTTTGTTTAAAAGCAGAATTGTTCAATTTTGACAAATTATAAAACTGTTACCTATATCTTTTCCGTAACTTCTTACTCTTATTTTTCTAAAATCATTACACTACCGTTAATTGCATTTAGATTTAAAAAAGACAAAAAAAAATTGTATCAGAAGTCGTGGTAAAATGGTGTTGGATGAGAAAAATACTTTTGTTATTACCATACAAGATTCAATTACAAACGTTAAAAAGAGCGAATCAACTAACAACTAAATTAAAAATGTTCATTTTTCAAGGGGTCTATAAATTAAACTTTATTGTCGGCAACACTCGACATTAAAATGATTGATTATAATAAGTACCTATATATATATATATACCTATAGGTACATAATAAATCATCATGGGCTAATAATTAGTTGTTAGCGTCAGTGATTGGCCTAATTCACTGAACATCAGGATTCGGACAAAAAGACTCATTCTTGGCCTTATTGCATAAATAACTATTATTTATTTGTTTTGTATTTGTATGTTTTTCGAGTGATTAATAATACGCAGATTGTATTTGCAAATGCTGATAATTAATAACTCACATTCCTTTCCTGTAGATATTCTTATTACTTTCCTGTTAATTGGTAAGTAATAAGTCATTCTCCTTACACTCTAAGAAAATATATTGTAATCCCTAACAATATAGATTTGTTATGCAAAATATGGTTCATTTAATTATAACTTATGGTTGTAATAACAATACACGAAAAATTAGTTTTGTTATATGTACTCTAATCATTTTGTTATAAAAATTTAGTAAAGTTAGATATTTGATTAGGCTATTACAACCATCATGTATGGCTAAACTGTTAGTACTACACTAGATGGTTAAAATTATAAGATTATCTGGTTACAATAACAATATAATGTTGTTACACATTATTAACAATATGTCGTTGTAGTTTTTACTATACAGAAAGTTTATACATATCATACGTATAGTATATTTAACCATATAGAGGGTTATAAGGTATTTGCATATGATTATTATAACTAAATAAATTATTGTTTTGTGCAACAACAAAAATATAGTTAAAGTGACAATAAAACTGTTACAATATAAACATGGTTAATATAACAGTAAATATGGCTGTGCCTATACTAATCAGAATATTTAGTAAAAGTTACTATATATTCTATTAAGATAACCATTGTTTTTTCTCAGTGTAACGATCTTCATGGTAGCTGGAGAAAATAAGCGTTAATGCCACAGTGTGAGGGCATCCAAATGATGATAAATGTAATCATCAGATTTAAATAATTATGGCACAAGTTTTTATATAGCAATAAATTAATAATAAGCATCTTTTGACAAAAAAGTTTTTACTTTCAGAAAAATTGCAATTACTCCCTCGGTGAATTTCTTTACTCCCCTATCGACTCGTTCTGATACTTTTATCCATGCATGGATAAAAGTATCAGAACGAGTCGATAGGGGAGTAAAGAAATTCACCGAGGGAGTAATTGCAATTTTTCTGAAAGTAAAAACTTTTTTGTCAAAAGATGCTTATTATTAATTTATTGCTATATAAAAACTTGTGCCATAATGCTAAAATGTATACACTATACCACATAATTTGTCAATAAAATTTAATAGTAAAATTTTTGATAATCATCAAAATAATTTATCATCTATCCGTTATGCTTAATAAATAACATTCAATTTAATGATAATACAACAAATATAAATTGTCCAAATGAGAATAAAATTCCTGCCAGGAACTTTCTTATTTATTTACTTTAGGTACTAAAATATTTCTTTTTTATATTTCGAGTATACTATATATAAATAAATCAGTAAACTTAACGAACTGGTATTTTGTAATATTCACTTTAATAAACAAGATCCCTTATTCCTAAAAAGTGAGTTATTAAAATAGTAGGAAAATCTGCCAAAAATTATCGCAGTTCAATATATTTATTTAATCTACTCTATAAAATACCAAATTTACTTAGCTCAAGAAACTAAGTTTCGCTTCATTTGTAATTATGTACTAATTTAAATTTGGAAAAAAAATTAAATTTTATTTTTATTAAAAAGTAGTTAACTGTTACAGTCCGCGCGTTATAACTTGCTGAAGCTCAATTCATATGGGCGTAGCCATTGGCACTTGTTTACTGCCTACCAGCGGCGTTGAAGATTAAGATTAAATTTTAAAGAGTGAAATAAACAAAATAATTTGTAATTATTAAATATAATATATTATATATTTAGGTTTAATTTTGTAGATACTTTTTATTCCGGTATGAATATCAGCGGTTGTTCCTTCTTTAACTATTATTTCAATTGTTCGTCCTAATACACCAGTAGCACAACTTTTGATTTCACAGCACTTAGATTCTCTTCTTTAGTTTTATTACTTAAAAAAAAAATTAAAAACATGAGAAATAATTTCTTGAGCTTGACTTTATTTTTATTTTATTTTTTATTTTTCGTTTCCGCCATTACTTCTTCACTTGACAATATTGCTTCTTTAGGAGATTATTTTTGATAATGTTTCATTTTGGTTATATACGTATTTAGGTATATTTATATAATTAAGGTACCTTTTAAAATTATACTTACCTTTACTTAAAAATTGTATTTTATACAGGTAAAATATATTGTATGTATTTATATGATTATAAGGTTCCTTTTAAGATTAGACTACTTTGTAACCATCAATTTTTTAATTTAATATATTTTCATAAATTTTAAGATGCGATGAAATTTGGGTAAACTTTCTATACAATAAATTGAACAAATAGCGAAAAAATTTTAAAAGTAAATATCGAATTCGCGCCACTGCAGTTCACTGCTTTGTTGTTAAATTAAACTTGAAGGCCGGTACCATTACGAAATTACGTCAACTGAGCATACGGCGTTCTCGCCAAGTTATAACGCGCGGACTTTAGTTCAAATCATTAACTTTGACTTATTTATAAGCTATATGTTTTAGTTAAGACAATTTTAAATTTAGTGTCTTTTCTTTCTTTGCGTCTTGCATTCTTTGGACGGCAGAATTCCATACAATCTTTTAGGCATTATACTTGTAAAAAATACCACAATTTTTATTTTTTTACAGATGTGAATAAACTTTCCCCCCTCCGCCAAAATGGACTACGCAATCAGTCACCACCTGTGGCGACCCCTAGCGGCGATGAGCTTAGAAGAAAACCAAAAAAATCTTGAACCAACACCAATCAACTTTGCCGCCAAAATCACCACCACCATGTTGCCGACGTCGACTTCCGACGTTGCCACGTCCGACAGTAACGACATCTGGTACCTGAATTACATGGAGAATGGTAATTTTAACGACAACATCAATGAGACCGATTTGCTTTTTGGTGAGCGTATTGTGAACGGTATTGTTGCTGTGTCGAACTTTACCGCGTTTAATGCGTCGTTAAAGGACAATTTAGCGGGCGTTAACGGTACCCTAACGGAGCTGGACGAGACGATCGAAATGATCACTATGATAAGTACCGCCATCTTGCTGGGACTCATCATACTAGCAACAGTGATAGGTGAGTAAACTTGACAATATTATTAAAAAGTAGGAATAGTGTCAAAACTATGGGAATAATTGTTTTAACCAAATACTGTACTTTTACTTTTATTAGTTTTAAAGTTATACAGCCATATTTTATTTTTATAGAAACAGTAACTAGAGACTGCGGATATAATCGAGGCATTGGTCATTTAAGGCTTTTTAGGTTATGTTGACCGCTTATGTTTAAGCGTTAAAAATATATAAATCTTTATAGTACCACAATTACAATGGTTGGTTTAAAAATATAGGAATATAAATACTGCATTTAATAAAATTCTAAAGTGTAATATTTTTGTGCATTTGGTCTTGATATCTAGTTGTCTCTATAAAATAGTTTTAACTAAAAGGCATTTATAAAAAAATATCTGTATCAAAGGTAGGTTAATATATTATAACAAAAAATCTTATCATCTACTTTTGTAATTTTAAGGTTAGAAAATTCTTTTTTGACCAAAATAAATAAGTATTATGGATTATTTGGAAGTGTGTGTTAATATGGTCCTATAAATATAGGTATACTAAATAATTGTTGAATATGGTATTAAATTTAAGCTTTTATACTTCTAACGACAAAACTTGTGCATACCTCTCAGCAGTTTTACTTTACTTTAAGTTAGATTATAAGAAAACAAACAATTTATAGAGAAACTTCCAATGTGAAAATATGTAATATCCCCATGACATGTGATTTATTAAAATATTTAAAGTTATAATGATTTTCCAATGTAGATCAAATTTAGTCGAAGCTTTATAAAGCTTCGACTAAATTTACTTATATACTTATATAGGTACTTTTATTAACAAAACTTTAAGTAGGTACACTTTAAACTGGAGTAAAAAAACTACCACATTTTTTTTTAGAAAAAGTAATACCATATTAAGTTAATATTATTAACACACTTTTCCAAATATTCCAAAATACTTATTTATTTTGGTCAAAATAGATTTTTCTAACCTTAAAATTACAAAATTAGATTATAATATTTTTTGTTATAATATATTAAACTACCTTTGATACATGTTTTTATTCCATAATAGAGAAGCTAGAATTTTTAAATAAATGCCGTTTAGTTAAAACTACTTTATGAAGATAACCATATGTAGACCAAATTCACAAAAATATTACTTATTTGGCACCATACACTTTAGAATATCATTAAATTAAATTCCTATACCAACCATTCTTATTGTAATACTAAGGCCTAACGCTTAAACATAAGCGGTAAACCTATAAATATTATTTTTTTTGTTAACTATACTTTAACAGATACATAACCTGAAAAGCCTTAAATGCCAAATTTTTAAAAGACTGCGTTCCGTACGTAGTCACTTGGTGGGACTTTGAGGTGTGGAGCATAGTACACTTCTTTTTTCAGCGTTTAATAATTTTGTACTTACATTGGAGTTCTTGAGTTTAAAAACTTTTATTTTAGTAGAAAATGATGACGTTTGACATTATAGGTTATGTGCCTGAATGTATTATACAGTGTCGTGTAATTTTACAATTACCTATACTGATTTAGAGCCTAAATGCAATAGATGAAACCACTCTTCCTATGTAATTTTAATGTATTTTTATTATTGTACGGCGGTGTATAATAATTTGAGGTTTATACTGGTACAAATATGAAGTCATGAGTTATAATATGAAAATTTGTATACGCTTGAAAAAAAATAGTATGTTAAAGACCTAGCCGGTAAAGTAACATTTTTCTAGGCTGCAATAATATGTCAAATTAAAATTTTGACATTTAAAATTATTTTATATTCAATCAAAAAACCTACTAGTCTGTAAAAATAATTTAGAACAATTGGTTATGAAAAACCCGTTTGGACCAAAAAAAAGTTGACTTCTGTCAGATTTAATCTAACATCACTTTGTACTTTTAATAATTATTATAATTGTACGTTTTATACAGTGGTGTGGCTTCTTTCTTAGGTTATTGTGTCAATTACCTCCTAATAAAAGAATAAATATCAACTATACTTTTTTAATTATTTTTTAATTAGAATTTATTATAAGTTTACCCACTAATAACACAGTACAACACAATTTCCCTCCCATGAAAAATTTTAGCAGATTTTGAAAATAGAGGTAAAAAAAACGTACCCGTGTCTCACAGTTTCACGAGATCACGTCATAAAAAAATTTTAAGCCGTCATTCCTATTATTTATGCTTATACAGATTGTACATTTTTTACTCGGTTAAAAATATATTTTTTTGTAAATATTGTATGTTTTTACACAATACAAAAAACAAATTTAAAAAAGTTTATATTTTGATTTTTTTTAAATAATTTTTTTTATTTTTTTTTAATGAAACACATTTTTGTATTTATCTTATATTCAATACATGTTGGAATAAAATCTTGGTCGTTTAGTTTGACGATTATACAGCTCGTTCAGACTAAAACCGAATATATCTATATATATATGGGGCGTGGCCTCGCCTCCCTCCAACGCGCGACACAGTAGCTAAGCAAATAGACTGCATCGCTAATGAGATTTTTTGCATTATTATCATTTAATTTTTTAAGTCCTTACCTGCTCGACCTTTCGTCATGTCGTTTATCACACAAGCAACTGTGACGCGCCTTGGAGGGAGGCGATATATTCGGTTTTATTCTGAACAGGCTGTATATTGCTTCAGAATCTCGAACAATTGACCAGCAATATTCACCCAGCAAATGCCTGACGTATTTTCCCTTGAAGCGTTTTTCAATTGTTAAAATGTCTTGGTGAAAACGTTCGCCATGTTCGTCACTAAAATCGCCCAAATTTGGTGGAAAATAGTCCAAATGAGCATGGAGAAAATGTATTTTCAGTGACATATGTACTTTCGGGTGACGTTCACAATATCGAAATTCATTATATCGAATTCAAAATATCGAACACTTTTTATCGAAAATCAAAATATCGAAAATACAAAATGTCGAAAATCAAAATATCGAAAATTAAAATGTCGAAAATAATAATATCGAAAATTAAAATGTCGATTTGAAAATGTCGAATAATTAAAATTTCGAAAATTAAAATGTCGAAAATGATAATATCGAAAATTAAAATGTCGATTTGAAAATGTCGAAAATGATAATATCGAAAATTAAAATGTCGATTTGAAAATGTCGAATAATTAAAATTTCGAAAATTAAAATATCGATTTAAAAATATCGAAAATTAAAATGTATGATTAAAATCGAAGTGTATATGTACAGAGGCGCCTCTGTAGATAAAGTTACGGTTATGCACCGAATTATCTTGGCTCCCTGGCTCCTAGAGATGCGCGTTTTATAGAAATGTACTCAAACTCAACAACACAACCCAACCGACCCCGCCCCATTGGCCCCCCCCCCCCGCCCCATTGAGCAAAAAACCCAACTAAAATGGGCAAATTCATGTTACGATAAAAATAAAACACTTTTTAATTACATAAATTAGCCCATTTTAGTTGGGTTTTTTGCTCAATGGGGCGGGGGGGGCCAATGGGGCGGGGTCGGTTGGGTTGTGTTGTTGAGTTTGAGTACATTTCTATATCAGAGGCGCCTCTATACATATACACTTCGGATTAAAATAATATGTCGATTAATTGAAATATTTAAACAAAATATCAAATTCAAAATAAGAAAATATGGTTTAGTTTCACATTAAAATTCGATTAAATAAAATTTCGATATTATCATTTTCGACATTTTAATTTTCGACATTTTGTATTTTCGATATTTTGATTTTCGATAAAAAGTGTTCGATATTTTGAATTCGATAAAGTGAATTTCGATATTATGAACGTCGATATTTTATTTTCGATAAATTGAAAATTCGATTAAATAAAATTTCGATATTATCATTTTCGACATTTTAATTTTCGATATTTTGATTTTCGACATTTTGTATTTTCGATATTTTGATTTTCGATAAAAAGTGTTCGATATTTTGAATTCGATAAAGTGAATTTCGATATTATGAACGTCACCCGTACTTTCATGTCCTGTGTTATAAAATGTACTTTATAACCCGAACTACAGGGAATAAATTCAGATTCCATCTCGGAAAAAATGGTTGTACTGGGTGTTAAAGATCTTTTACTTTTATCCTCACATATGTTTTCTGAAGGAGCAGTTGGATAATCTTCAGATCGCACTCTTGCGAGAATGACGGATTCTACATCGGCGTAATCAATTTTCTCTCTAGTATTGGTCCGAAATCCAAAACTTTTTAATTTTGACATGCAGAAATAACATTGGTCAGATGCGTGTTCGGTACGTCGCGACGGGTCGAAGCCAAATTGTTGGTACAACATATTTCATACTGTGTGTTTTATCTTGCAATCCATGCAAACAACGGTAACAATATTCGCATAAAACCTCTGGTACATACCATAAGTTTGGTATATACGTCACCAAAAAATAGTCTTCAAAAGCTGTTGCTACACTTTTTGTAATATTTCGCATATGGCTTGGAGGTGCAAATAAACCACATACATAACAAAAATTATTTCGATTCGGACACTGCATTTTTACTTTGATTTCAAATGGATGGTTAAGTCAACAATCAAAATTAATTGCAGCGATAAATCGATAAATTTTTCATATTAATTAATATGAAAAATTTATCGATTTATCGCTGCAATAATGTTTTTATTTAACATTTAAAAAAAAAGTATTACCCTCGTATAAAGATTGTTTTGAAAACAATGCTTTTTATGTATAAATGCCGCAGATGTGTAAATTTTTTGTTTTTTTGCTGTTTCAATTGACTTCGTATACTTAAATACTTTTTTTACTTAAATTAAATATGTTTTAGGTACATTTGCTTTAAGACTTAAATCAATTCATTTAAATATCCTTTAATTTTTTTTAAAAATGTTAATTCAACAAAGCTCAATTTTTACAAAAAATTGAATAAATAAAAATTTTAATTACCCGACTTTAAAGCATTTTGATTGGCTTAAAATTGAAACATTTTGTTACTTGGTT